TTTATTATATGCATATCCAAGGCAGCAGTATGAACAGCATTTTGTTTGATGAGTGGGCAAAATGCGGTGGCAAATGGAAAACCAGTTCTTTCTACCTGTCCATTGTTGAGCGCCATCGAAAACGCCATCGTGGAAAGCGTGTCTGGTTGATGGCCGATGAAATGGACAAGCTGCTGCTTGCAAGAATCATGCTGGATCAATTTGTGTGCAAATTGTGATTCATTGCATGATCGATCATATTCAATAGTGATATTTGTCACACATACGGCAATTCAGGTTCGGACCGGAAGTAGCTGCTCAGATGCGTCTCCGACGGGAGACTGACGAAGTCCTGGCCGCTACTGAAATCAGATTCCACCCAGACTTGCCGGGGGTGCAGGCCATTCTTTTTTTTGTTGCTTCTCAACTGAGAGCGTTAAATGGTTGACGTCCATTGTCAGGAAGCGAGGCAGTACAAGTGCCTGGTAGAAGATCAGGAAGAGGATGAAGTAGAAGAAGAGCTTGAACAATTGTTCAAGTGTCTGGATGAAGATGACAGTGACTCATCGGAGTCATCAGAAAAGCAGGAGGACAAGAAGGCTAAGGCGAAGAAGGCGTGGACTTCAGTATTCAGCAGACTGTGTGATGTCATGTTTTAGCCTTTAGTGCGTGGATCAGGATGGCAAAGATCCGAAAGGCAAGACAAAAAAGGATAAGAAAAACAAGAAGAACAAGAAAAAGGAGAAGAAACGTGAGAAGCCTGAGCCGGAGAGGAAAGAAAAGGAGCCAGAGTTGAAAGAAAAGGAAGAAAAGCAGGCATTGCAGAAAGATGCAAAGAAGGCACGCACACAATACTACCAATCATGATTCTCCACCTTTCCTGCCAGTATTGCGGAGGCTATCAATGACGCCAGCGGCAAGATCAAGACTACGATTGGCTTATTGCCCAACATGTCAACCTTGCCAGCCCCTTAAAGCTTTATTCCAAGTCTAGAGGTGCAGTGCTTTTGACCCCCTAAGGAGCGACAAGTTTCGGCAATCTGTTCAAATGGATGTGAAGGAGAAGCAAGATCTTTGTGAGGCAGTGCAGGTTATTGCATGCAATCAGTGGTAAAATGTGTGGACGCATGTAGGCCACTCGTGCTACTCTCCAGAAGGGCGTGGACTCTGGCAAGGTCACATTTTTTGAATAAAGTTTGCAGGAATGTGCAATAAACTTCAGTGCTGGACTTATATACACTCGCAATACAATGTTCAGGTCACTCGCGAGATGATCAAGGCGTGTGAGGATGCACGAAAGGAATTGGAGAAGGCTATTGAGCCGATTAAAGGCAAGAAACAAAAAAAGGCCTAGGTGTTTCTTTTATTGGACATCCATAGGCTGAGTAGCTTTGCGTTTTTTTAACTTACGTCTTACGTTTTCGGTGGCATTGGCAGTTGAGAAAGAACCTTGGTCCGTGAGATTGTGAATAAAGGTATGTGCAAGCTCATGTCACTGTATGTCCCAAAGCCTTTTTAGTAACTCAGAATACACTCCAGGGCATTGGTTGTGCGGATCAGGGTGCCAGCCACATGTTTGAAGTTGGATAGGCGCGAGTTTGATCATCCATGATGGGTGACAACCTAGGTTGCTGGGGTTCATGGGTTGGTCGTGAGCGCATAGATCACGCTTCGCTTCTTTACTAGCACGCAGCCGCAAAGATTCGTGGCTGGCAGACTTCAGCACAGATGATTCTACAGGAAAAGGTGATGGTGCTCCTTTGTCCTTCATGCATTGATCCTCCTCACTCATGAAATATTTTGAAATTGAGCATGGGAATGACATTGGCAAAATGATATGATCATTGTTCCATCGCAGGTGAACGCCATGATATTCATGGCCCCCTAGAACGAGACCTTTCCGAGCGCTTAGCATGTGGCGAACATTGGCTGATCATGAAATTACGATTATGGTTGTGGAACATCTGTTTGATCACGTTGCAATCTGTGCACATAAGGAAGGCAGTGCTGAATCAGCCATGCGTTCAGCAAGAGCAGCCTTTCAAGATACTTGTTTGCAGTATTACCCAATCACCTAGAGAGTTCAAAGCATTTGAATACATTCGCAATTTTTCAATATTATGGACAGCCATTTCTGGAATTGAGGAATCGCGTGGAAATACCACTTCGTGGACCGCCAAGCTAGCTGGTTTCCGTGGAGTCTCAAACCACAGCCGTGACTTTTGGCGTTCTACGAAACTACCCCTTGATTCTGAGCTGGTAAGACTGAGACACAATTTTACTTTGCTATACTTTCCGTTCTATATTGCAGAACATGCATTAATCTTTTCCCTCTTGCAAGGAGCCAAGTGTGGTGAAGGTTCCAGTGAATGTGCGGAATGCCTCTTCTACAGATCCATTGGTGACAGAAGAGTCGTTGCCTCTCCAGTTACCGCATGAGGTCCTGAAGTATTTGTGGGACGATTGCCATCTCAATGAGAAGATAAGCAAACGGCAGTTGCTTGATTACTGGGACCACATGGACTCAGTGGGTCATTCGTTTGCTCTGGCCACCACAGAGTTCAGAGCAGTACTTGGGTCTGACCGAGTGTGCCCTGTTGGGCTGTACGGGGACGAAGCGTGTATAGGATTGATCGTTGCCCCTACTGCGCAGGTGTATGGCATCTTCCTTTCAGTGGTTTTGTTCCGACCCACAGCCACTAGACTCAGCCGGTATTTGCTGTTCAGCATCCACTCGGAAAAGATCGTCAGCATGGAGGAAACTTTGTACCCAGTACTTCAGGAAATCACCCTTTCCCTCAACAAGGCCACGCAGGAGGGTGTGAATGGGATGCATTTCGTGACCTCTGAGGTCAGGGGTGACCAGGCCTTCATCAGAGCAATATTCCGACACAAAGCCCGCTGGACTTCAGTCGACGTCTGTTATAGATGCCAAGCCTGTTCCAAACCAAATGAGCTTTGTTACACTCAGTATCCAAGTCAAGTTGCAAATGACGGTGGATGGGAAGGGACAATACGAACAACTGATGAATTCATATTGGAAGAGTTGAACCTTCCTCTATGTCGCTTGGAGTCTGTGGTAGAGGTAGAGCTAGTGCGACTATTTAAATTTTTCATGTGTGCAGAGTCGGATGCATTTGGCATTGTGCACAATTGTGATTGAGGTCCGTTGGTCTTTTTAGACTTCTTTACGATTGACGTCATCCAGGGGTGCACCCTACACATCTTAAACCTGGGCCTTCTAGGCATTTCCAACGGATCCGTATTGAAACTTGCTTGCAATGTTGGGGAGTGGGTTCGGTGTTCATTTCACCTATTCGGGTCACGACTTAAAACAAACCGTCCACAAGATCAATTTTTGCTTCCTGACCTGACTTAAACTTGTCGCCCGGCTAAGGGGAATGTTGATCGAGATGAAAGTTTTTGGTGATGTCACCGCGGGCTTTTCTTTGCCGCTGGCTAATGCATCCAAGCAGTTTCGCCTTTGGCGGCTAAGCAAGAAAGTCGCCAGCTCGCAGGGTGCCTTCAAGAAGATCCATCGTGATGGATATGGGTATTACCTCAACGCGAAAGGATTTAACGCGCGGCTGGTTTCAGAATTCTTGATGGATACGCTGCATGATGTCAATACCAACCCTGGAAGATATGAGAATATGGTTCCAGATGAACGGAGTTTGGTAGCAGAAGCGGCTTTGATACTTGCACTTTGCCCCAAAAGGTGTTCGCCTTTGTGCTATGTTTGAATCTTTTGTGGGGTGAACGGTGATGATCGAACAGCTGTTCTCCATTACAGTACAGGACAGCCATCAACCGGTATTTTGGCTTGAGTGAGCGTGCTGGACGATTTGTGTAGCTCGACTGCACAAACTAAGTCATGAACTGTTTCTCAGATTCTCATCAGGGCTAAATAAATTTTCTATTGCGGGCATCGATGTCTTAGGACACAAGAGCAGGCAATTGATTTGGAAGACAGCGGGCGTACATACTTGAATCTGTTCCTTCGTCTCAACCATATGACCATAAGGAGGACACTGGGGTCTCTGGCAAAACACATTTTGGTTTGAGTCATGCGGTTGAACATTTAAAGGATCAACGCTGGCCCCTGAAGGAGAGGAACACTGGCATGGGTAGTTGTCCCAAAGCTTCACGTTGCTTCGACTGAAACGTATTACATGGTTTCTCTTCTGGAGTTGGTGATAAATCATGAATAAACTAGGATTATTCTATTGGACCCACTGTGCAGTCAGGCTTTCCACCATGTCCTACTACAAATTCGCAATTACAGACGCCAGGTGTGAATTCAATGTTGTTTTGCTCAAAGCTTTTTAATAAAAGATGTTGCAAAAATATAATTACTGGCGATGGACTCATTACTATTTACACTCTTGGCCAACAAGGACTCAACGCTCGTTTCTATCACACGTTTACAGACGAGGATCAAATGCGTGTTTTGAAGAGAAGCCAGTCGTGATTGAACAATATTTCTTGTGATTTTGTTGGTGGGGATCTGTCGAGTTGCCAGACAAATAGAGGATTCCCTCAAAACGAGTGTAGTGTATAAGGCTGGTCAAAGAGGGCATCAACCATGCAGTCCAAGAAGCGTGAGTGGGGGATCATGCGAATGGCACGAGCAAGAATGAAGACTTTGAGCTGGCGAATCAAAGAGCTGAAATGTGTGAGAAAGAAGCGGTGAGAAAAAGAATCTGGTGGAAGTGCGGGGAAAATTTATATGGTAGAAGAGCAATCGTTAAACATAGCATTTCATGGTTAAACATAGCATCTTTGTACATACTAAGTTAAACATCGTATGTGATGAAATGCCTAAGTAAACATCGCATTTGGAAGCCAAGGGTATATATATATATCAATGTCGTTTACCACTTGTGGTCCATAACATCTGTTTGAACTACCACTTCTGGTCGGTCCATCACTCATCACCCGAACACGGTCCGCGCCCGGTCCATCACGCGTCGCCGCTCCATCCGTGCCGTGCCGTGCCGCAGCCTGCTTCGGCACCGCAGGATACGATGCCTCGGGCTTCATGACGTGGACGGAGTACTGCAAAGAGAAGACCAGTCCCTGGACAACACCTGGTGGAGAGAGGGGGCCTGTGAAATAGGAAGACGCCTCACAAACAGCCATTGTGGCTCCTTCCTGAAAGGAGCAACAATTATATATAGTTATATCAAATTTGATAATATTAGGTAAATCAATTGGAGCCACATTCCATGTAATATACGGTTACGCCACTAAAATATGTGGAGGGCGGCCCAGGGTTGACCCTCCCGGAGGTAGTGTATAATTCGTATTCTGTCCGTATGTTTGGGGGCGACGGGCGGCTCCGCATATTTAAATGTGCAGTTCCTTCATCATTCACAACAATAAAAAACAGCAGGATTGCCGGGCCTTTTTTGGGGACCTTGACTCCGCGCTAGACACCTCTCACAGTTTTTGCAATTGACACGCCTTCATGTTTAACATCCCTGTGCTTTGAGTGTGGTTGGAGCTTAAAGGAGACTTAGAAGCCGGCCCCCACGGAATTGCGATCAGTGCACCATTTTGGGAAAAGCCGTTTTGGAAACCAACCATGTAGGGGGGCCAGTCCACGTAGAGGGATCCACGTAGGGGGGTCCACATAAGCAGGGTCCACGTAAGAGAGTCCACGTAGGGGCCTCCACATAGAGGGGTCCACGTAAGAGAGTCCACGTTGGGGCTGGGGGGTCCACATAAGCAGGGTCCACGTAGGAGACCCCACGTAGGGGGCTGGGTCCACATAAGCAGGGTCCATGTTAGAGAGTCCACGTTGGGGCTCCACATAAGCAGGGTCCATGTAAGAGAGTCCACGTAGGGGGCTCCACGTAGGCGGGTCCACATAAGCAGGGTCCACATAGGACCGGTGAAGGCCTCCATGTGGGACCGGCCAAGGCCTCCACATACG